TTCTCTTTGTTTTCTGAGCTTACTTTTCAAATCAAAATGATTTCGACATTGGTCCGGATATTGTTATGGTTAACATTTGAAGAAGGTTTTGCTTATTGAAGTATAATCAACTTCCCGAGAACACACTTAGCAAAATTGTTTGCTAAGAGGAAACTGAGATTGGAATCAGTTGTTGTTGAAACGACACAATCTGAGTTGACAGCGAAGAATTGTCCTTGTAAGCCGACATGAATCTTGAAGTAAAAATATGTTTCGATGATCTGAGGAATTTGAGGCGAAGCTGAAGTCTGAGGCTGCTTTCACAATAAGTTTTCTTTATCCCAATTCAATTATTTTATTTATTTGTTTATTTAATTTTTATTATCCTTTAAATAATTTAAAACCCCTTTTATCTTTATTACTATTAATATTTATTATTTTATTATTTCCCTTTTTATTTATTATTATCTAATTTATTTTATTAAATCTTTTCAACTTTACCTGAACTCTATCTCTTCCTAAAATCAAGAAGCAGTTTTACTAAATCACAAAAACCATAGTTCTTGTGGATCGACCCTGCTTCTCTATACTACATTTTTCTTTTTATTTCAGAAGCCGAAATTATTTTGATAACAAAACGACGATTATCACATATATTTGTTTATAAAGCTTTTTATATATATGTTTAAAATATATTGATATTATTTTATTAGTGTTCAATTGTTTTAATTATCACATATTATCTATCATATTTCAAAACCTACTATATATTATAATTTTAACTTCCTAAGATGATATATATATATATATATAGAAAGTTTGTTTTATAATATATATAAGTTGTTTTATGTTGGTATTAATATATATATGTATGTACGTACTTTATAATTAACTACAGTATATTAAGTAGTATATTATATTAGGTTATTTATGAATATTATATTGTTATTTTGTCTGTCTAAATATCATGTATATTTGTTTGTACATATAGGCTTAGGTTTTATTTTGATCAATTTGTATGATATCCTCATGAGTGTTACGTGGATTCGAATCAAATAATAGGATTAAAAGTAATACCTTTTCATTTGAAGTTCATTGTAGATGATTGTCTTAACGAATAAGAGGAATCTTCCAATGACTTAAAATAAAAAGGATATCCTATCAAGTGAAATGAATACAATTGATTTCATTTAAAATTTGAGATTGAGAAAAAGATTATGTTCTTTTAATTAAATTCACCGAGAAAAGACTGTTAGATCGGATCTAAGGTTCAGTCTCGATGTCTTTAAATAATTGAATATCCTTATTTTCATTAAAGGTTGGTAAAATAATTAATTAATAGTATTTGTTTGATGTATGCATTTAATTTTTGTCTTATTTTGTATGTGTTTAAATGGGATCTCAAAATAATTATATTCGAACATATAAGTTTTATTGCAACGACAACAAGTTAATTATTTGATACCGATTTAGTGCTTTGTGGGGGTGTTAATAATTCCCCACGCGTAATCGACTCTCGAACTCAATTTTTTGGTAATGCATATCGTAAATTTTTTGTTTTAATTAAAATTAACATTTTATTAAAATGATAAATATATTTTTGGGTGCCCAATCACACCCTAATCAAAGATTGGTGGTGACTCCATGAACCGATTTTATTGTTTTTTTAACTTGAGTCCCAATTTATTCGAGGTGAATATTTTTTAAAAAATCACGATTTTTTTTAATCGACACTCAGATTTTTAAAAGGAACGTCTCGACACGCACTATGGCACCTATTCGGTAGTTAAATCAGTAGCTTTGCATATTCAGACCTATGCCATCAACTATCTCATTTAGTGAATGAATATAGTATAGTACAATTATTAGTGAGACACTGAGCTTGTAAACTCAACGTTCGGAATGTGTTTCCGCTCATAGGTTCTTAGGGGCAGTTTGTGGGGAGTTGTCGTCATCGAAAATTCTAGTTCAATAGTTTCAGACCAGCAGAAATCATCAAAGTACGTCTTGAATTATCTTTAGAAGGCATGTACTATTTATGGACCCTTATGTATATTCAGTCATAACCTTGATTTGTACTTGGTACTGTATTATTTTGGATACATTTTGGGAGCTCCCCTTCATTTGTAAACTCAGATTATTACCACGTTTATTTTTATTACCTTGGATGGATTTGATTCAGTGATTATAAATAGTTTTAAAAGAAAAGTTTTAGGTCACTATTTCGGTAGTCTCGTGTAACAATGTAATACATAGATTTTCGAGTTAAACTGGATTAGGGTACAAAACTACTTTCCCCTAATTATTTCTTAATTAATTTGTGTCACATTAAATTTGAGTCAAACCCTAACATCTATAACATTGATCTATCTTTTTATATTTTTATCATAATTTAAAAATAATTATAGATCCTCAAACCCTAATATATTTTTATAAATGCCAAATTATCTACAATAAAAGAAATTAAAATTTCATACCTTAGACCATTAATTTAGAATTGATATCATATTAGTTTTAGGATTTAGAAGACACTTCCTATAAAAAAATGTCTTTCGAGAATTTATTAATCTCAACTTTGCCACGTTTTAATAAACACTTTCTATAAAAATAATTTTGACTAAAAGGGTGCAATTTTGAGAATTAACAGTAAATTCTTACTGTTTAAGTAATAACTTTTTAAAAATATTTGAGTAAAAAGACCCATGGACATGACTCTTCATATGTGATGTTTAAAATGTTGTTTCTCCCATGAGAGATTTTTTATTTCTTCAAAGTTAAATCTCATATTTCTACATAAAAGAATTCAAGTTATACAATTTAGTATATCATTTTGAGTATTGGTTTAATCAATTATTACGGTTTAGGTCTGACTCGTGTGCCCATACGATTTAGGTTAGATATCTAACTTGTAATCTTCTTCTAAAATAAATTCTCAATTTTTTTATCGAATCAATAAATTAAATATAAAAAGTGATTTTTTAACACGTCTACTAAATAATTACTTCAAATTATAATTTATTTGATTTCGAATAGTTTTGAGATAATTATAAGATAGAATTTGTTTATAATATTTATTAAACATTAATAACACACACTTAACAGACACAATTACTACTCAAATAACGTTTATTTTTATCATTGGGGCACTAAATGAGTTCACCATTTGAATTTATTTTAGGATATACTATATAAATGACCACATAACTATAGATTAGGTCCGAAATGACCACTATTTTTTAATTTGCGTCAATATCACCACTGAAGTAGTTAACAAAATTTATATAATTAGAGCATGAGTCATTGTAAAGTTATGTATTCACGACGCTGGAATCCTTCTTTGTTTTCTTCCATTTTGGTCACTACTTCTGTATGATTTGTTTCCTTGAATTTTCATTTAATGCAATTTGATCCTGATTCTGTTTTCAATTTGTCTAATGCCTTAATTTGAGCATTAACTTTAAAATCTTTTATTCTTGTCATGTATTAAATTTATAGATTAAGTCCCCTAGATTTTAGAATTAATCAATTTGATCACCAATATTAACTTCAATTCTTAATTTTTAATTAGGTCCCAATTTTAATTTAATTTAATAAATTTATTTTTCCAATCAGATTGTGACATGTACATGTCACAATCTGATTAGATGATTTTTTTAATTTAATTAATTTAATAAATTTTCAATCCAATCAAATTTTGAATTGAAGTGAAAATAAATAAAGATGAGTTTTGACACCCAATGGTAACTTGCGCATGCCTTAACTACTGAACTAATTCTCACGCTTGTTATTGAGATAATATATATGTTATATAACTTGTTCAAGTTTAGGCAAAAGAAGAAAAAATTAAAATAACTTAATTGGATTTGAACCCAAAATGAATTAGTAATCAAGCAAGCTTTAACAAATAAGTTAAATCTAATATTTAGGAATCAATTATAATATATATATATATATATATATATATATATATATATATATATTAGTTAATGATAAAAAAATAAAAAACGGATAAGTGAGAACTTACCTCTAGGCCAATTGAGAGTATGACAACACTTAAATCACTAAAATAAACCTAATAATTTATTTATAATTGATTTAAGATTTTAATGTTTTTAAACTAAATTTGTTGTTTTTATATTTATTTTTTAATGTTTATATATATGAAATTATTGAAAAATAATTTAATATTCAAATTATATTCATAAGAAAAAAATATTTTAGATTGGTTACTAACTGATAGTGGGTTCAAATGCAATTAAGTTATTTTAGCTTTATTTTTCTGCCTAAACTTGAACAAGTTATATAACATATATATTATCTTGATAACAAGTGTGACAATTGGCTCAAAGATTAATTCTAAAATTTAGAGGATTTAATCTATAAATTTAATACATGACTAGAATATTAAAGTTAATGCTCAAATTAAGGCATTAGACAAATTAAAAACAGAATCAAGATAACTTTACAAGGACGCATGCCCTAATTATATCAATTTTATTAACTGCCATTTAGACACTTCCATTAAGTGTTAAATGAAAAGAGGCTATATTGAAACTATTTAAATAATTCAGTGGTCATATTGACGTAAATTTGAAAATGATAATCATTTCGCGACTCAACCCATAGTTATGTGGTCATTTATGTAGTTTACCCTTCATTTTATGCAAAGCAGAATTCAGACAGATATATTCAACGGGTCAGCCACTTTTTAAACGGCTAAACAAATGATGATCAACGGTTCACATTCGTTCCAAAAACTTTTCAAATTCCCCCATGCCAACGGTCAAAACCCCAAATCCAAAATCAGAGTTTCCGCTCTAAAGAAACTAGCCGTTACATTCCACTCTTATTTCAAACTCATCAAAAATTTCGAAGATTTTCTTTCCCATTCACAGAGCATCAATCTTACCATTACCATTTTCGCTTCAAAGATTTAAATTCCTGTTTCCAATCCGAAACCCTAAATCCCATTTCCTCCAAATTCCAACCAACAAATAGAGAACGAAAAAAGAATATCAGCAATGGCATCGCCCGCAAAAACTACATCTTCTTCTTCCTCGATCACATGGAGAACGAACTCTATCATGAAGAAATATGAACTCTGCGACCTCACAAGGAGAAGTTTCAGTGGAAACCCTTTTACAAAGCCGGTAGTTATAACAAATCCCAGAGCATTTAACCCCAAAACTGCGGCTAATAGCCCTTCAGGTTCCTTTTTCTTTTACTTTGTATCTTTTAACTTTTAGAACGAGCTCTGGAACTGGGAATTAAGGGTGTGAAACAAATGGAAAGAAACTTTGATGCATTACCCATGGGTTCTAAAGTGAATATAGGAAAGGAAATTTGGGTTCGAAATTTTGTTCCTTTTCCTTTTCGTTTTAGTTATGTTAGAAATTTGGGTTCGAAATTCAATATGAACCTACTCGATTTGATCCTAAAATGATAAAAATTTGAATCGTTCAACTTGAATCTCGAATTTGAATGACCAACCTTGGTGATACACATTTTACACATTTGGTTGTATTCTTTTTCTTGCACAGGGGGGAAATTTCCTAGCAACCAAACAGTAAGATTTTATGGTTCCTGATGTTTGTTTATATTTGAACAATTTTTCCAGATTTTCCTCGAAGGCATTCCACTGGAAGAGGAAGTGTAGATTCTTTGAGTGATCTCGACAAGGAGAACAGCAAAGACCAGATTCCAAAACCCACAAGACTCAGATCACCAGCTCCTTCAAAGGGCACAAAGAATTTCATGGCACCGACAATCTCGGCTGCTTCGAAGATCAATGCGTCACCCAGAAAGAAAGTCTTGGTTGAGAGAAATGAGCCAGCTAGATCTTCTGTTTCATTCTCTGATATAAAAGGTCTAACCATGGAAGACAAGGAATCAACCCCAGAGGTTGCTTTGAAGCAGAAAAAGGTCTAATTTCTGATGTTAGAAGCTTAATCATGGAAGATAATGAACCAACCCCAGAGGTTGATTTGAACCAGAAGGTCTCTTTCGTTGGTGTTAAAAGCATAATCATGGAGCATAATGAGTCAACTCGACAGCCCGGTTTGGTGCAGAACAATGTTGAGATGCCTCATGACTTACAAAGCAACTATCATGAATATAATTTTAAGGAACCTTTCAAAAACAATGCTGGGTGTTAAAAGCATAATTATGGAAGATAACGAGTTGACTCAACAGACTGGGTACAAGCAGAACAATGTTGAGGTTCCTCATGAGCTACAAAGCAACAACCATGAATATATGGAATATTTAGAAGGCAATGTTGATGATTCCTTAATGGAGACTTTTCCAGAGGAGAAGGGTTCTGTTTTGGCACCACGTGATGCAGATCCATTGATGCTTCCTTATGATCCAAAAATGAACTACCTTTCTCCAAGGCCTCAGTTTCTTCACTATAGGCCAAATCATAGAATTGAGCTTTATCGAGAAAGAGACTGCAAGCAACTCGAGGAGTGCTTCACAACCGAAAGCTCTTCTTCCACGGATATTACTGAAGAAACACAGTCTGAGGGTTCACTGAGAGAATCTGAGATATTTTTTCAGGAGAGGCAAACCTCATTGATGCTGCCATGGTTGAAAAGGCTTTTGAGGATAAAAGAATGTGTAAGCCACATTTTGGTACCAGATCAAAGTTCATCGCTTTGCTTCTGGTTTTGGCCTTTGCTTATTTATCAGTTCTAGCAGCTAATTCTTCAGCCTTTACTTCAAATTTGGAAGAATTAAGCCTATTAAACTTCCATGTGCCGCCTGAAGTCACCGGATTTGCAAAAGTTAAATTCGAGCTTTTAGCTAGAAATCTTCAGCACTGGTCCACTAACTTCTCGTCTTATGTTTCCAGTACTGTTTTCAGCTCAAGAGAAGTGGGAGCTAGAAATCTTCAGCACTGGTCCACTAACTTCTCGTCTTATGTTTCCAGTACTGTTTTCAGCTCAAGAGAAGTGGGCTTTGAATATGCTAATTTGAGTCGTGTGTTAGAGCCTGTGAGTGAGAGAGATGATGGAAGCGAACTATTTGAGAACAAGTATTATGGAAAGATAGAAGCAGATAAGGCAGTAGATGAATATGAACAGCTAGAAGACCAAAAGGATGAGTTTTTGAAAAACTTGGAGCTGGTTTCAGAAGAAGAAAGTGATGCAGATGAAGATGAAGAACAAAAGAACGAAGATTTTAAAATATTGGGGCTGATTTCAGAAGAAGAAACTCTTTCAGTGGAACAAGGGATTGGGGCAGAGATGATTGAACTTGATCAGTTAGAGGCAGGGAGCAATGTGAACCCTGAAGACCATCCAAGCATGATAATCCCACAGGCTACTGAAACTATGTTCCCTGAGGAAGATTCCACTCGCAGCTCTCAAAATTCCATAGGTGATTCTACAATTAACAGCCCTGCAGATCGATTTCTAGCAGAGAATACGACAAATTTTGCATTGCTTGTGTTATGTCTAATAGCAGCTTCAGCTTTAATCTACACAAAGAGAGGAAAGCTCTCCACGCCTCTTGCTTCGGTGCCTGTGAAACAAAGGCGATCTTCCATGAATTGGCAGGCAGACACGGACATAGCCAGTGAATCATGCCCTTCATACATGAGTAGCTGCTGTAGTAAAGGACTCAAGGAACCAAATAAATATCAAAGCCAAGAAAGGAAGACCAGGAAAACTATAGGAGAGAATCTCTGGGTTCATCAGATTCCTCTATGGTTTTGTCCTCCTACGGCAGTTTTACCACATAAGATAAGATGCCTAGCAAGCATGTAAGTAACCTTTGATTACACTTGTCATGTTATTTTCAACAACTACCTTGACCGGACCTTGTCTGCTAACACAGTCTGTTTATATTTTTGTCTTGAAGGGAGGAGGAGATGATGTTGTTACTCCAGTCAGGCGTTCGAGCAGAATCCGGAACCAAGTCATTTCTCCATGATGATTGTATCTGTTGGTAGAATTCCAACGTTGCACCACTGTGCAATTCTGACGTTAATGAATCAGTGTTCTTAGGGTGAGGTGTTAACGTAGATTAGAGCTTATTGTGATTTTAACTCATTGTGGTTGTGATTTGAACAATAATTGTTGCCAATCTACTGCCCTACTGTGTCTGTGGATTGGTTTTGGTTGGCAATCAAATATGCTGGTTTTAGGCAGCAACGAGTTTGTATGAATGGTTTAGCCAGAACAATGGAAAGTAACATCAAGTGTTATTTCCCTAATTTAAAAGCTTTTACATATATAAATACCCTAAACAAAAAGCCAGGCTGCTATAACTCTTGACATTAGGGTTTTTCATTAATTGTATTTCCCCTATCTATATAACTAGCCAAGTATTGTTTTAATGTCCCTAGTAGCTAGTATTGTTTTAATTTGCCTGGTAGTCGTAGTAATAACCTTACGAGTGTACAATTTCACAATCACAAATGACCCAACGAGGCTAAATATGTAAAAATGATGCGTTGAGTGCAGAGAAGGATAGATGGCATTGAATCTCAATGTTTGGTTTTAGTGACGAAAGAGTATTTATCTTTACAATCTTAATGGTGAGACAATATCTATTTATAAGATTTTATAGCAGGGATTATCTGAACATCTGTGAATAATACCCGATGTTCCTATAATATCATATCACTTGATTGTTTAATGAGTCCAAGTGATAGTGTCGTATTTCTATATGTAATTGTGATTGAATATTGACATTGTCGATTATTGTTGATGCAATTTCATGACTAGATCCAATGAGCAAGGACTCGAGTAATCATGATATTAAGATCGCTGAATGGTTTCTAATGGATTGATCACAAGTATGATCTATTTAGGATTAATGAAACATGTGTATACTCATTGCTTATATTTCTAGGGTTTTAAAATAGGATACCCGCATTTTTAAATACCTAAAATATTTGGTGTCTGATTTTTCGAGTATTATATTTGTCGACCTGTGTCTTGACCCGTTAAGTTCGAGTATTCATAAAACTCAGGTACTTACATTTTCGGATCACGAGTACTTAGATCATATATATATTATCTTTTTAAACCCAAAGTTTAAAAAGAAATCACATAGAAAAACACATAGAATTTAAAAATTCACTTTACATTATCCATAGACAAAAATTAGGGATTTGAAGTTAGTTTTAAGGATATATATATATATATCCATGTATTTTAATAGATATGCATATTCATAGTACTATTATGTCTATTTGATCTCCAACTCTATCTATATTTTGAATTTATTTTGATTTATAATTTGTATAAGGAAACTCTAATTTTTATAAGAATGTCTTATGAATATTTTTCTTTAAAAAAATACCTTATTATGGATTTAATATTTATAATTTATCAATACTTTTATGCTTTTGACCGAGAAATGAGAATTTTAAGAGTAACGTTCGTTTTGATGACTTATTGTGACACACTAAATTCATCATTAATATATAAACTTAAAACTTTTTAACAATATATTTATGTAACCGAATATATATTATCACTACATCAAAATTAAACTGGCAAAATAATAATAATAATAAAAATAAAGGGTATATTATATTGTTGAACTATACTCTTGCTCCTATTTTGCTTACCGTACTTTCAATTTTTCTATTTTGCCCACTGAACTTTACAGATTGAATAATTTTGCTCACTTTGCTATTAACTATTTAACGGTATTATGATGTGGCACAGGAATCAAAACGAATTCGTTTTGAAAAACTCAAATATACTCTAAAACGATGTCGTTTTGGTGAGTAAAATATGAGAGAGTAAAGTTCAGTGACTCATGGTGAATTTATCATGTTCCCTTCTCTTCTTTATTTTCTCTCCGCCACCACCATGTCATTTTCATTCCGGCCACTGTCGACTTCCGTAGATGGTGGTCATTCGATCCCAAATTTCATGGGTCGGTTCGTCTCAACCTCTTGAGTCTAAATATGGTGGTTGTTTCACCGGAAAATATCCCAAAACCTATGAATATGGAATTAAATGTTTCAGTTTCCTAATTTTCAATCTCAAATTCGTGGACATTGGAGCAAGTTCTGACAAAACGGAAGTCGGATTCAGACTCAAGGTGTCAAGGCGAAGCGACCCATTCCATTTTGGGACCAAACAACCACCATCTATGGAGGTCGACGATGGTCGATGGTGGCATCCGATCACCTTCTATTTTATTTTATTTTTAATTATTTTAATTAAATGATAATAAAAAAATGCCATGTCATCAGCTATTAGAGAGAAAATGGCGATTGAGAAAAATGATTTGATTGTAAAGTTCAATTAGCAAAATAGGAGAGAGAGTAAAGTTCAGTGAGGAACAATGTAATTTACCCTAAAAAAATATGCAGTGGCCGGTGAGTCAAAAGCCAATGTTTGGTATTTGCGGTTACGATGCCACTCTGTCTTTCATCTCTCATATCTGTAATTCTGGAAAACCAGAGAATAATAGTTTTAAATGAATACCATAGTACAAATTTATCTCAAAATATTGAAAATTCGAAAAGAAGTTCAATTTATATCCTTAATCCATCTACGACCCCTAAATCTATAGCTAAATCTCTGTCAATTTTCCATTTTCTCTAAAAAAACTATTTTATACATGCATTAGTACTTGTTAATCTATACCATTATCGTCAGTGTGAATCAATCCAGAAATTCAAAAATAAATCACCGTTTCCTTATAAAGAAACGACAGCTTTATTGAAGTTTGTGCTTATCAATATATACAATTCACATATATAATTATAATTACATACCTTTTTAAGATTAAGCTTTTTCTTATTCAGTATCTGGAATAAAAGGGCACAGTTATAGGTTACCAAATCGAGTGATTTTTTACATTTCTTTAAGAAGATCCATGGAGTTTGGTGTTGATTTTGTCTAAGCAATATTCAATAATCATCTTCAAGTATATAGTCTGTTGAAGTTATATCCAGAGAAGCTTATACATTACTTGCCATGGAACTGGAAACTGGCAAGCCTACCATTGCTTCTTATGATGATGACGATGTAAGATCAAAAAGAACAGGCAAGCCATTTTCGAATCTGGGTTTTCTCTGGAACTTTTGTTTTGATCGGTTTTGAAGTTAAAAATCTCATCTTTTGATTGTTTTTCTGCAGGAACTTGGGTGAGTGCAAGTGCACATATAATAACAGCAGTTATAGGTTCAGGAGTGTTGTCTCTTTCATGGAGGATTGCTCAGTTAGGGTGGATTGCTGGCCCCATTGCTCTTGTTGTCTTCTCTGTCATCACCTGGTTCACATCGAATCTGCTAGCTGATTGTTGCAGGGACCCTGTTTCTGGAACAAGATTTAACTGTTACATGGATGCTGTCAAATCTAACTTAGGTGACTGTAAAAATCTTACATTTTCAAATACATGGAATCCCAATGGTAATGTTTTCTAGGTTTTTTTAACAGGAGGAATCAATAACAAGTTTTGTGGAATAGCACAATATGTGAATCTTGTGGGGGTAACAATTGGATATTCAATCACTTCAGCTATTAGTATGGCGTAAGGCTTTTTTTTTTCTCTCTCTTCTTCTGGTGTTTTGATTTATATGGTAGGAATATGTTCTTGTGTGCGTTTGGTTAACCAGGGCGATAAAAAGATCAGGTTGCTTTCACAAAGAGGGCCATGCTGTAGGCTGCCATGTCAAGAACAATATGTTCATTATTATCTTCGGCATCATAGAGATCACATTGAGCCAAATTCCAAACTTCCATGAGCTCTCGTGGCTCTCCGTGGTCGCTGTCGTTATGTCGTTTGCCTACTCTTGCATCGGCGTCGGTCTATCAATAGCCAGAGTTGTAGGAGGATCTCGTTCTAGGACGAGCTTGACAGGGACGACGATCAGGGTCGATGTGACGGACTGGGAGAAGGTTTGGAACGCCTTCGAGGCCCTCGGTGACATCGCATTCGCCTATGGTTTCTCCAATGTCCTCGTTGAAATACAGGCGAGTCTCCTGGTTTCTATGATCCTTTTTCCTTTCCAAGGAAAAAAGACTAATACTATTCATGGAATTGCAGGATACTCTTGTTGTGGAATTCGGGTTAATTTCTACCAATGATAACAAATTCACCTTGAAAACTATTATCTAGGTGACTAGTGTGAAAACGATTGTACTAAAAATCACCCCAAGGTAGATTCCCAGGAAAGAGGAGGGATCCCAATGGTCCCTCTTAAAATCCACTTTCCTTAGACATAACTACCAAGACAAGTAATTTTAATAGGACAATAATTAACAACAACTATACCCGACAATAACTATTAAATAGACATAAAGAGAACACCAAAATTTAACGAGGTTATGCCAAAATTATGCCTACCTCCTCGAACACTACTAAAATAATATTTCACTAATAGAGGAAATATTACAAAGAGAGAAAGAGTACAAATAGCCTTTAATAGTGAAGAATGCTTATATTTGTGGGATGCTAAACTAAGGAGGAGGAGGGCTCTATTTATAACAAAAGAATTTCCCCTCCTCCTTATATACAACCAATGTGGGATTTTGCCCAAAAACCAACAAATCTCCACCTTGGCAAATTCCACACACATCTCTCAAAAATCCAATCTTTAGTAGTGTCTGCAAATTCATCTTTCAATTTGTAACAATATTGATCAAGCCTAAACAATGTTTAAACTTGACCGCAGTTACCACTTTTGTCAACATATCAGCAGGATTCTCAGTGGTCCGAATCTTCTAGATTATGACTCCACATTCTTCTAGAATCTCTCGTACAAAGTGATATCGAGCATCGATGTGCTTCGTCCTTGCATGGTAAACATGGTTCTTTGCTAAATGAATAGCACTCTGACTGTCACAATGCACTTTGATGTGCTTCTGTTCCATTCCCAATTCATCAAGCAACCCATGAAGCCAAATTGCCTCCTTCACAGCCTCTGTAACTGCCATATACTCTGCCTCTATAGTAGACAAAGCCACTGTTGACTGTAAGGTGGACTTCCAACTGACTGGTGCCTTTGCAAATATAAACACATAACCAATAGTTGATCGACGCTTGTCCAAATCACCTGCATAGCCTGAATTACAATACACAACTACACACTTACCATCATGTTTGTCCTGCTGAAAGACCAAACCAACATCTACGGTGTTCAGAATATACCGCATAACCCATTTCACATCTTGCCAATGCTCTTTTCCAGGATCATACAAATATCTGCTCACAACCCCAACTGCCTGTGAAATATCGAGTCTTGTACACACCATTGCATACATCAAGCTACCAACAACACTTGCATACGGAACCTTTGACATGTATTCCCGTTCTGCATCATCCTTAGGTGACATGGATGCACCGAGCTTGAAATGTGGAGCAAGAGGTGTACTAACTGGTTTTGACTTCTCATTCATGCCAAAACGTTTTAGTACCTTCCTCAGATATTCTTTCTGAGACAAACAAAGCCTCCCCAATTTCTTATCCCTTGATATCTCCATGCCAAGAATCTTCTTCGCTTCACCAAGATCCTTCATCTCAAACTCCCTGTTCAATTAAGTCTTTAGTTTCGCAATTTCTGTCTGACACCTGGAAGCTATCAGTATATCATCGACATAAAGAAGAAGATATATATAGGATCCGTCTTGTAGCTTGCGTAAATACACACAATGATCATATTTGCTTCTTGTGTACTTCTGCCCTATCATAAACTTGTCAAATCTCTTGTACCACTTCCTTGGAGATTGCTTCAATCCATACAACGATTTTTCTAATTTGCACACCATCTATTCTTTTTCAGCAACTTTGAATCCATCTGGCTGTCATGTAGATTTCCTCATCCAAGTCTCCATGTAAAAATGCAGTTTTTACATCCATCTGAACTAGTTCCAAATCCAACTGTGCTACCAAAGCCAACAAAATTCTGATGGAGGAATGTTTTACAACTGGAGAAAATACTTCATTATAATCAACTCCCTTCATTTGAGTGTAGCCTTTAACCACCAATCTTGCTTTGTAGCGGATGTTATTCTTGTCAGGAAATCCATCTTTCTTTGCATATACCCACTTGCACCCAATTGCATTCTTTCCCTTCGGAAGACTAGCTAGTTTCCACGTCTGATTCTTTTGAAGGGATTGCATTTCTTCATTCATGGTGATCCTCCACTTTTTATGTTCTAAACTTTGGACTGCTTCATTAAAAGTGGCAGGAACGTCATCAATTGCAATTGGTGATGTAAAAGAGACCATATCAGCATAACGAGCATGTTGTCTAATGGTTCTCTTTCCCTTTCTGAGTACAATTGATTCATGTTGCTGTGGAGGTTCTTGGGTTTGAACCTCTTCTTCATCTGACTCTTCTTCTACCATAGGAGAGTCAACATCACTTTTTTTACTGGCTGGGTTAATTCTGCTTTCTTCAAACAACACTTGTTTGTGAGTTCCATCTGTTTGCTCCAATTTTTCTGAAGTCACCTTTCTCAACATGGTAGATTCATCAAAGGTAACATCCCTGCTGAAGATTATTTTCTTTGTTTCTGGACACCAAAGATGATAGCCTTTCACATCAGAGGTGATCCCCATAAAGATCGCCTTCTTTGCTCTTGGATCCAACTTTGACTCCTTAACATGGTAGTATGCAGTGGAACCAAACACATGTAAGGAATCGTAATCTGTAGCAGGTTCTCCAAACCATTTCTCTAATGGTGTTTTACCACCAATAGCAGTCGATGGTAAGCGGTTGACAAGGTGACAAGCATAGACCAAAGCCTCAGCCCAAAATTCTTTGCCTAACCCAACATTAGACAACATACACCAAACCTTCTCCACTAATGTCCGATTCATACGCTCTGTCACCCCATTCTGTTGTGGTGTAGATCTGATAGTGAAATGCCTGATAATACCTTCTTCTTCACAGACTTTCAGAAATGGATCATTTTTGTACTCTCCACCATTGTCTGTACGGAGACGTTTGATTTTTCTGCCTGTTTGAGTCTCCACCATCTTTTTCCATTTAAGGAAATATCCTAGCACCTCATCCATTGTCTTCATTGTATACACCCAAAATCTCCGGGAAAAATCATCAACAAAGGTGACATAATAGTGTGTTCCTCCCAATAAAGTTGTCTTGGAAGGCCCCCATACATCTGAATGAACATAATCCAAAATACCTTTAGTATCATTGATTGTTGTTCCAAATTTCACCCTCGTCTTCTTCCCTTTGATGCAATGCTCACAAAAAGCTAATTTGCAAGCCCGAGAACCCTTCAATAATCCTTGATCTATCGGCAATTTCAAGGATTTTTCACCAACATGCCCCAAGCGCATATGCCATAACCTGGTTGCTTCTGACTCATGTTCATCAGTAGAAGCTGCCACTGCTGCTGTCCCAATAATTGTACTACCCAGAAAGTAATACACATTGTTTCTTTTCCGGATTCCCTTCATTATCACTAGTGCACCAGAGATAATCCTCATAATCTCATCTTTTGCCCTCACTTCTAAACCTTTTGACTCTAAGGTTCCCACAGAGATGAGATTTCTCATTAAATCTGGTACATAATGGACACCTGTTAAGGTTCTAATTGATCCATCCTGATTCCTCAAGCGAATTAAACCAATCCCAAGTGTGTCAAGAGGGGAATTATTTGCTGTGTAGACAATTCCACCTTTTAGTTCTTTAAAATCAAAGAACCATTCTCTATTAGGGGTCATATAGTGGCTACAAGCTGAATCTAACAACCATGAACTGGAACAGCTGGTTGATGGCGTAGCAGCGAATGCGAAATCTGAATCTGTATCATCATACTCGACCACATTTGGTCCTTTAAAATCAAAGAACCATTCTCTATTGGGGGTCATATAGTGGCTACAAGCTAAATCTAATAACCATGAACTGGAACAACTGGTTGATGGCGTAGCAGCGAATGCGAAATCTGAATCTATATCATCATACTCGACCACATTTGGTTCTGAGACAACCTTTCCCCTTTCAGGTTTGCCTTTATTCTTTAGCCTGGGACATTCTTTCTTCCTGTGCCCTTTTTCTCGACAAAAGGCACATTCATCTTTGCTCAATCTGGACTTTGACTTCGATCTCCCTCTCCTTCCTTTATTCTGACTCTTCGAATGGCCTCTAACAACAAGAGCTTCTACTTCGATACTTGTATTTTCTTGTTTGTCTTTCTTTCTCAATTCATAACTATACAAGGCAGTAGTTACTTCACTGAGAGACACATCAATCTTCCCATGAAGTAGAGTAGTTTCAAGATACTCAAACTCATCAGGAAGTGATCCCATCAATATCAGAGCCAGATATTCGTCTTCAAAAGTCACGTCCATATTCATCAGATCAGTCACCAGCTGATTAAAGCTAGTAATATGATCATTCATAGTGGTATTTGATACATAGTTGAAGCGGAACAATCTCTTTTTCATGTAAAGCTTGTTCTGACCGCTTTTCTTCAAAAATTTCTCCTCTAGTGCCTTCCACAATTTACTTGTAAAAGTTTCCTTAGAAAATGCATACTTCTGCTCTCTAGAAAGACACGATCGAATAGTACCACATGTCAATCTATTGATCATATTCCATTCTTTCTCCTCAACATCATCTGGTTTCTCTCCTTCAATAGCAATGTTTAGATCCTGCTAAAATAGGACATCTAGAACCTCACTTTGCCACATGCCGAAATGATCGGTGCCTTAAAAAATCTCCACTGCAAATCTAACATTTGTCACAACATTTCATGCGGATGTTTTTGTGTCGTCTACCATTTCTGCTACAAATTCTATTTAATAGCCATCAATGCAGAATGTCAATTACCCCAAGGAAATTTTTTCTGATGTAGAAGATCAACCTAAGCCGCAACCACAGAGCATACTAAAATTAACCAAGAGCACTGATACCAATTGTTGTGGAATTCGGGTTAATTTCCACCAATAATAACAAATTCACATTGAAAATTATATCTAGGTGACTAGTGTGAAAACGATTGTACTAAAAATCACCCCAAGGTAGATTCCTAAGAAAGAGGAGAGGTCACAATGGTCCCTCTTAAAATCCACTTTCCTTAGACAAAACTACCAAGACAAATAATTTTAATAGGACAATAATTAACAACAACTATACCTAACAATAGCTATTAAATAGACATAAAGAGAACACCAAAATTTAACGAGGTTAGGCCAAAATTATGCCTACCTCCTCGAAACACTACTAAAATAATATTTCACTAATAGAAGAAATATTACAAAGAAAGAAAGAGTACAAATAGCCTTTAATAGCGAAGAATACTTATATTTGTAGGATGCTAAACTAAGGAGGAAAAGAGCTCTATTTATAGCAAAAGAATTTCCCTTCCTCCTTATACACAACCAATGTGGGATTTTGTCAAAAAACCAACGACTCTGGAATCAAGTCCACCAGAATATGAATCAATGAAAAAGGCAACCTCGATCGGTATCTCGGTCACCACCATGTTCTACGTTTCGTGTGGAGTTCTGGGTTATGCAGCATTCGGGAACACCGCTCCAGGCAATTTCCTAACAGGGTTTGGGTTTTACGAACCTTACTGGCTTATCGACATTGCTAATCTGTGCATTATTATTCATCTTGTGGGAGCTTATCAGGTAATTTCATTCCAATTTAGACTATAACATTGATATCATAGACAAACTCAAATAAAATGATGATGCTTTTGTTTGTTTCTCCCCTCCAGGTATTCTGCCAACCAATATTCAAACAGGTTGAAGACTGGTGCTTAAACCGATTGCCAAACAACAATTTCATAAAAGGAAGTCGACCAATTAAGCTTCCGTTGTTTGGGGACTATACTTTCAGTACCTTCAGGCTTGTATGGCGAACGGCTTACGTGATCACGACAACCGTGGTGGCGATGCTTATCCCGTTCTTCAACGGCATTCTCGGTCTGCTCGGCGCCGCTTCATTTTGGCTGCTGACCGTGTATTTCCCGATCCAAATGCACATATCGAGAGAAAACATTCGACCCTTTTACTGGAAATGGATATGGCTAAACGTCCTGGTCATGGCCTGCTTGATTATATCGGTTCTAGCAGCGGCTGGCTCCATTGCTGTAATCGCTAAGGATCTCCAAACATACAAGCCTCTCACCTCAGTTTCTTAATGACTGTCATCTTTTATTAATACAGTTTCAGATAAAATTTTATTCTGAAATTTTATTAATGACTTATAGTACGAGCTAATTGAATTGATGCACATACTCCTGAACTAATCCATCATGTTTGCCTTGATCGAACTTCATATTCAACATATTCCTGGGAAAAGAAACTATTATTTAAACTTCGCTTGGAATTCTCTTCATGTTCCAATGAAAGTAACCCCAAGTCCATCACAGTATTGACCATTACCTGTGAGGTGCAAGCTAGTATATTAGGCTCCTTGACTTGTAATTTAGCATCAAATCGAGATTTCACAATAAGCACACCTTCATTCTCGGCTGGTATTCCATTTTTCTCTCCTAATTTATCCACATTTATCTTTTGTTGCCTTCTTTCTCGACCCTCCACAAGAATCCCATGAACCAAAATTCTCCTCTAACTTTCTGAAGAACCTCATATATTGATGACCTGAAGGACAAATTTCTTTAATATGGCCATCTTTTCGCAGTTGAACCACCCTGGTGGAACTGTTCTAGATCAATGCAAATGGCCATCCTTGTAAACCGGTCCCTTGTCCCATTATCTGTGTAATAATCGATTTTTATGACCTGGCGATTCCGAATAATAACATTCTTGAAACATAGAGAATCTAGATGTCCGAGCACTACTCATGGGAAAGAACTTGTGTAATTCTAGATTTCTAATTGATCTGACTGTTTTTGTTGATTTTCTTGTGACTCACGTAAGTTCATCTTTGAAGGATATCTGATTATTATTGTTGTTGTTGTTGTTGATAACCATGACTTCGTCCTCCGGCGGATCCTCCTCCCTCTGCCTGAACTTTTCCAAGGCTCTTCCGATACCGGAGTTTGAAGAAGCTTGTTTATTACCCTTGTTAGAAATATTTTATATTATGTATTACAAGTTCTTGTTAATCTAGTTTGGAAGATTGCCATACTATCACCTATTTGGAATTTAATAACAGACTAGCTTCAGGGTTAAGTTTCACGAATATCCACGGATTTTGTGCTTAATTTTTTCCAAGCAAGCAATCTTCAATAATCTCTCAAACCCCAAAACACAAATCTGACCTCCTTCAAGTACATATCTATTGACATTACGTGCCATGGAATTGGAAACTGATAATATCATTGCTCATCATGTTGATGATGATAGCCCAAAAAGAACAGGTGAGCCATATTCGACTCGGGGGTTTTTCTGCAACTTATGATTTCATCGGTTTGAAAGAAAAAAAATCTTATCCTTTTTTTTTTTTTGCAGGAACTTGGGTGAGTGCAAGTGCACATATAATAACAGCAGTTATAGGTTCAGGAGTGCTATCTCTTTCATGGGCCTTTGCTCAGTTAGGGTGGATCGCCGGTCTCGTTTCTCTCGTACTCTTCTCCGCCATCAATTGGTACACATCAATTCTGCTAGCCGATTGTTGCAGGGACCCTGCTTCAGGAACAAGATGCAGCTGTTACATGGATGCTGTCAAATATAACTTAGGTGACAAGGAATTGAAATTGGGCTTCTTTCAAGTACATGGAACCCCAATTCTAATAAATTTCTGGGTTTATTTCTAACAGGAGGAATCAATACCAAGTTTTGTGGGATAGCACAGTACGTGAATCTTGTAGGGACAACAATTGGATATTCAATCACATCAGCCATTAGTATGGCGTATGCTTTTTTCTTGATATCTGGTTTTGATTGATAGGTTAAAGATGATATTTTGTTGTAATATAATTGTAATCTCCTTGTTTAATTGTTGATTAACCAGGGCGATAAAACGATCGGGTTGCTTTCACGAAGAGGGCCATGCTGCAGGCTGCCATGTTAAGAACAACATGTTCATTATTATCTTCGGGGTAACGGAGATCATATTAAGCCAAATTCCGAACTTCAATGAGCTCTCGTGGCTCTCCGTGGTTGCTGCCGTTATGTCGTTCGCGTACTCTTGCATCGGCCTCGGTCTCTCGATAGCCAAAGTTGCAGGAGGGTCTCACCCTAAGACAAGCATGACAGGGACGACAATTGAAGTCGATGTGACCAAATGGCAGAAGATTTGGAGCTGCTTTGAAGCCCTCGGCGACATTGCGTTCGCCTATGCTTTCTCCACTGTCCTCGTTGAAATACAGGCAAGTCTCCTAGTTTCTATGACCCTTTTACCTTCCAAGTAAGAAAAAAGGACTTATATTCATTGAATTGCAGGATACACTTAAATCAAATCCACCGGAAAACGAAGCCATGAAAAAGGCTACTGTGGTCGGTGTCTCGATTACAACCTTCTTCTACATTTTGTGTGGGGCTCTGGGTTATGCAGCATTCGGTAACGCTGCGCCAGGCAATTTTCTAACAGGGTTCGGTCTTTACGAACCTTATTGGCTTATCGACTTTGCTAATATGTGCATTATTGTACATCTTGTGGGAGCATACCAGGTATTTTGCCAACCGGTATTTAATAAGGTCGAGGACTGGTGCTTAAACCAATGGCCCAACAACAATTTCATAAAAGAAAGTCGACCAATTAAGCTCCCACTTGTTGGGGAATGTACTTTCAGTACCTTCAGGCTTGCATGGCGAACAGCTTACGTGATCATGACGACCGTGGTGGCGATGGCTCTCCCATTCTTCAACGGCATTCTCGGTCTGCTCGGTGCCTTATCATTTTGGCCGTTGACCGTGTATTTCCCGATCCAAATGCACATATCAAAAGAAAACATTCGACCCTTTTGCTGGAAATGGATATGGTTAAACATCGTGGTCGTGGTTTGCTTGATTATTTCGCTTCTAGCTGCGGCTGGCTCCATTGCAGTCATACTTAAGGATCTCTACACATATAAGCCTTTCACCTCTGTTTCTTAATATCTTCCATATTTTTAGTACAGTTTCGGAGATATTGTTCGAGTTAAAACAATTTCGAACCGTGCACTTGTGTGTGTAAATTGGATATCAAGTGGCTGGCTGTGCACCACTCCACGTGTTGGTCATCGACAAGTTCGTCGGTTCATCTTTCACGACAAGATACTTACAAACACGACACTTCCAAACGTGAAAATCACCTATTCCGAATCAAAATATGTTGAAAGATCAGTGATAGAACACAGAAAAACAATCGGTTCGTATAACTAATCAAGATATGATACCGTAAAATGTTTACCTTGTAAAAACATGCCTACGATTGTTACATTTTAAATAAGTTAACAAGGCACATCCTCGTTTACTTGGCTTGTTTACTACAATTACATGCATATACACAGTGGCAGATGTAGGTGGAGTTTAGGTTAGATCGGTGCCCACTCTGAAATCTTAATTTCTTTATATTAATCTATTTTATTCAAGATGTTCACCCTGAAAATTTATTTGTACCTATTACATATAAAAAATTTATGTTACTAATATATACATGCTCACTTTTAAAAATATTTCTGGATCCGTCGTTGCATACAACACCTAAAAGCTTGGCTTGACAAAGTTTATAAGCATATTCCAAGTCTTCATGATGTAATCTCTATTATCAATTCCAAGTGAATCCAATTTCAAATAAAAGTAACCACAATGGACAAGAACACTTTGTTCGAACTGTTTTCAGGTTATCATTCCTGAAATACATGAAAACACTTTGAGAAGCATTTGCTTCTCTGTTGGAGATTCAAATGACCGCAAAGCTATCATAGAGGCCATATCAGCCCCATTTATCCCGCTCGGTAGTTAGCTTCGAAATTTGAAACTTGCTTATTGTTTCACAACATATCATCTTGTATGTTGTACCTATGGAGGAACTCCTCCGCCAATCACAACTCCACAATCACTTTGCTTATCGAAATTTCTAATGTTTTATATCCTGTCTTGCCACAATCTCTGAAAAGATTCTCGGTAGGCCCACGAGATGTGCCAATGAAAGACGGTCATATTTATTTACTTTGTTAATCTATAAATAATAATCATGATTGTGAACCTAACGTAAACACAAGGGTCTCATTTATAAACAACCATGCATAAAAATTCTTCTTCGACTTCTTTTTCTTTGAACTCTCTCTCTCTCTCTCTTAACTCACCGTTGTTTATTGTCTTCCTCAACTCATCACTCCTTCGTCGCATAATCACTTGTTACGACTCTTTATTCAAACTAGAAAGAGTGAACTGCTTACGACCATCACAATCCCACTTTCACCATCAATAATTGATGTGGTAAGCACGGACTACTTCCTGACTAAAAAAATCAATCAAAAATAGATTAAAGCAACCAACTCAGTTTCTCCTCTTCTACCTAAAATCTGGTTAAGGTGTCAAATATTTTCGGTCAACATGAGCTAAAACCCCCTTTATCATTAAGATTGTCTCATGGAGCTCTCGATCTTTGAAAAGCCCAAAACCCAACTCAATTATAACTTTTTAAAATATGATGATTCAATTTTAAGCTTATTAATAATAGAGTGACTGAGGTATGGTTATATAACAAAAAAATATTAAATAAAAATATTTTTAATGGCATATTTTAACGTATGTTTTGAGATTTAACGTCACTCTATATGATTATTTCAATTGATAAAAATTGAGTGACTCGATTATGAGTTTTTAAAATATATTAACACATTTGCAAACTTACTAATAACTTAATGATTGTAGTTTAATTTAGTCATAATAACAACATTACCCCCAGCATTTGCACAAATGGTTATTTTGCCCCCTATATTTTTTTGAGCATTTTAACCCCCAACATTTGATTTTAGAGCAAAATGCCCCACTATTTGGATGAAAATCATTTGTTGACTAACTATCAATACTTCCTATTGGCGAAACAAGTCCACATGTGATGTCGCGTCATCAAAAATTATTTTCAAATATATTTTTATAAGTTTATCTGTAATTAATTACAATTATAATTTATTTTAAAAATATTTTTTGTTGATGTGGCATCACATGTGAACCTGTCATGTCAATAGGAATCATTAGCAATTAGTTAACTAACGATTTTCATAAAATCAGGAGACATTTTGCTCTAAAATAAAATATCATGAGCTGAAATGTTTAAAAAAGAGATATGTTTAAAAAAGAGATAGAGAACAAAGTGATCATTTGTGCAACGTTGGAAGGTAATGTTATTATTATGCCTTTAATTTACACCCTTTCTCTTTCCATAATAAATATCCTTCACCTCTTTCTCTTCCCATACACTTTTTTTTATTAAGCTAAGGTGATTACAAAGTAGTATCTGTTTTACATACTCTCAACCAATTGACAATGAACGCTCAATCACCCTGTTGCATCGCTGAACTTGAACCCATGACTTTTAGGAACAACAATGATACCTTTAACCACTGATGTAAGTTGGTTTGTGCTACACAATAACTTCCCATGAGGTTACCCATTCTAGTATTACTCTGGCCCACACACTTTCTTAACAACCAAGGTGATAAATTTTTTGTTTCCGATCAACATGAAATTGAGAGAGAGAAGTTTGGAATCTAAAGAGACCCATAGATTCCAAGTTGCATCTCCTTGTTCTTTTCTTCAACTCCAAGAAACCCTCTTTGCCTCCGCCTCACCTTTCTCTATCTTCTCTGTCTTTCGCTCAACGCCAAGGATCAGCTCCATGCACCTTCCCCTCACACTTCCCTTTAATCCCTCGGTGTCACTCCCAGTGACCTTATATACTTCTCCATCAACCCAAATGTTTTTTCCGCCGTTGCTTTCACTCAGAAGCCTCAATTAGTTACCGTAGCTCAAGAGTGATAAGAAAGATGGGTCTTTAATTCGTATCTTGAGAGTGAAGTTTTTGAGTTTTGGAAGATTTTTAAGGACGGGCTTGCATTGCGGTTGTTGATAGATCTTTGTTACAAGACTGATTTAGCTCTTCCAGCTTGTGTGATTCATCTCCCAATATGAGTTAAAGCTTAAGATCCTAGAGTTGTTGTCTGGTGTTGATATTGCAAGAATAGAATGCATTTGCTCGGAGATGTGGTATCTGGCTTCCAACAATGACATGTGGAAACAGAAATTTGCAGAGATATTTCAATCATAGTATTAAATTATGGTTGCACAGTGTAACAATCGCATCGTAACGTTTTACAAGGTAAACGCGACAACGCAAACCGCAACATAAAACATAGTTATTTTTAAGAAAAAATCACACCATAACTTGTAACTGCGATACGGCAGCTGCAAGCCTGTAACTGTGACGGTAACTGTAACTGCAATTTAGTATTATGATTTCAATAGCAGCAGAACTATGGATCTGGAAAATGAGATGATTAGGAAGAAAATAAGGAGGTGGCAATGGTATTCTTGTGTTGATAGGCCATTTCTCAAACTATCCCATTCCAATATTTCAATTGTTCGGAGTTCCTCCTGTAGTCGGTGGCCATTACGACTTATCGCCTGGTGTCGTCATGCCCTATCTTCATCCACACACTACAAAAAAACATTTCTATAGCGACGCTTTTAGTGGTGTTTTAGGAGAAAACGCCACTAACTTTAAATATATAGCGGCGTTTAAACCATAAATGCCATAAAATGGTACCTTTAGTGGCTTTTTTTTATAAAAACGCCGTGAAAGAGTAGTACTTTAGTGGTGTTTGTATAAAAACGCTGCAATAGGTTCATCAATAGTGGCATTTTTTCAAAACAAATGCCGCAAAAGAGTTATACTTTAGCGGCGTTTTATAAAAACGTCGCAATAGGGTCATGTATAGTGGTGTTTTTTGACAAATACCGCTAAAGAGTATTATTGTAGCGGCGTTTTTTTATAAAAACGCCGTAATAGGGTCATGTATAGTGGCTTTTTTTACAAACGCCGCTATAGATTAGTATTGTAGCGGCATTTTTATACAACGCCGCTATAAACTTGTATTTTAGTGGCATTTTTATACAAACGCCGCTATAGACTTGTACTGTAGTGGCGTTTTTGCTTACAAACGTCACAAATTTGTAGTGGCGTTTTACATACGATGAAGGGAATAACCTCTGCGATAATTGCTTTGATTATACCTTTCCCTGGTAATTCTCTTCCATTTTCCTTTTCTAAACTGCCCAGTACGTGTTTCCTTTCAAGTTTTTCCACTACTTTTGTTGAAAATGTGAATATGGGTATGTCTAAACCCACCCATCTGGAGATATTGGTCATAGATAAGGGTAAATCGAGATCCTTTGAGCTTGATGAAGCTCTGGGTTTTTTCAATTTCATGATTTTAATGAGAAACTTGCCCTCAATTGTGGCTTTCAACCATCTGCTCGGAGCAGTCTCCAAGATGAAACAATATGATATTGTTATTTCCCCTTCTGATTCTTTTTCTTTTCACTATTTTGTTCCTCTAGGTCCCTTTAAATTGATTTGTATTGTAATTTAAAAATATCGATAGAAACAAAGCCATATCACTCTTGAAGTACCTGATGGAGTTTGTAAATTAATAGTTTTGTGTGTATAGGTGTGTGGCATGTTTTGGACCTAATTAATTAGCTGCTGATTGGAGTGTGTGATCAATCTGTGAACGAGAGACTTGCATTTGAGCTAATTGATTGAATATGATGAGGGTTAGTTGAAATGAATTGCATTTTATAGGCAAATTATTTGCATTCATGATGTAGTGTGTCATAATCGATTTTTGACCGGGCACGAAATTTTACTTGGCGGGAAAAATAATGTGGATAAAAAATGATTTTGATTAAAAAAATGTTTTAGGAGTCGCCATCGACCTTTTTGGGTTAGGTAGGTCGAATTCCTAAAAATCATATTTTAAAAGAGTTTTTAAGAAAACGTCAGTTAAAAGATAAATTGGTCTGTGTTTAACCAAAAATTCATTTTTTTAACAATAAAAAGGGATTCGTGGTCGGTTACGTTTGGGGAAGGATTAACACCCCCACAACGCCCAAAATTGGTACATGTTGTTTATAAATTGTCTCTAATGGTAGATTTTAAGAATTCAAATATGAATTTAATTTACGATCCTTTTATTTCATATTCAATTTGATATTTCTTAGGAAAAAGTATCACATATATATATGTATATATATATATATATATTTAGGGTTT